ATATATATATATATATATATATATATATATATATATACACACACATATATATGAACAATGTATATATGTAAACAATGTATGTGTGTGTATATATATTTATATATTAGTTATTATAATATAATTATAGTGATAATATAAATACTTTCTCACCTGTAATGAACCAGTATAAAACCGACATACAGTTGACAGTTGTTGTACTGGTGAAATGTATTTATATAGTATAAAATAATGATTTATTAGTAATTCACTTACATTAGTAATTACTAATGATTCATTAGTAATTCATTAGTAATTCACTGAATAAATTGAAATTTATTGGAAGTTAATAAATAAAATTTTATGGAACTTTTTACCGCATATCATACAAAATGATAATGGCAGGGTTTTTTGCTTTTTTTTTAAGTTTGGTTTCAAGACTGGTTGTTACCTAAATTAAAAAAAACGACTTGAAATCAGATTTTTCAATAATGAATTCATTTCAAGTTTCTTGCATAACACTTTAGTCAGACATCAGATTTAAAGTATAACTTGAAATTCGCTTCTTACATTCAAAAAAGATTTTTACTTTTTCAAGTAAGTTTTTCAAGTCTAATTTGAAAACAGCCGGTTTTCAAGTTAGACTCGAGTTTTCAAGTTAAACTTTGAGTTCAAGTTCGCTCTTTACATTTGCTCAAGTCAAATTTTAGACTAACAATTAGAAGAGTACTACAAAAACACAATTACATGTGGCAAGATGCTTGCGAAAAAGCCCAGTCTATTGATTAGAAAATAAGAAAAAACTGATGTTTAGCACATGTGGCACAGTGATCTTTTCAGAGATGAAATAAACATTGAAGTTGATTAAGAAAAAACCAAGTAATGCTGAAAAGAAAGCCACATTACTAAATGGACCTAAATTGCTCTATAAATAGAACAAAACATGGAAGTGGTAGTATAGACATCTGGGCCTGCATGAACTATGAAGATGTTGGTCGTTTCAAAATATTTGATGGAAGGTTTGATTCTCTGAGTTATTCTGATATATTAGATAGTTATTTGATACCTTCTTTTGACAATTTCCAAAAAGACATTGGAATCTTCCCACAAGATAATGCTACATGCTGCTAAAATTTGCAAGCAATTGTTTGAAGAAAACAACATTTAAACCATATCTTGGTCTGCCAATAGTCCAGATCTATTTATTTAGAGAATTTGTGGTCTGGATTAAATCACAATCTTGATAAAATTGAAATAAACGATCTAAGCTGGCTGAAAAAATTTATAACAAAATTACTGAATAGTGATCCAAAAGAGATTACTCAGAATTTAGTAAACTCCATGCCAAATCATACCAGTGAATACATAAAAGCAAAAGGATTGTCAACAAGATATCAATTCTTTTTTTTTATGTTTTGTAAGTATTTTTTTATCAAGGTTTGTTAATTTGTTTTGAGGTTAGTTTATTTTGGTCAAAAATTTTTTTTTTATAAAAATGAACACTTGTTTTATTTTCAATATTTTAGTTTTTAATTATTTTAATTGCTATTACATTATAACAAATTTATATTGTGGTTATTTGATTTATTTCAATTAAAAAAAATTAGGAAATAATCACTTTTAGTCAGGGTTGGCAAAAACCCACGTTTTTTTAAAAAAAATCCAGCCCAGTGGGTTTTTTTTGGGTTTTATTGGGTAAATTTGGGTTTAATTTTTATTTTGTCCCTGTAAAAATAGTTTTGTATTTTTGTTTAATGATATTGAAAATTAGTTTCATTTTCTACTTTAACTTTATTTAAAATATATTTTATATATTGTTGTTTAATTATTTATAACAAGAATTTTTCAAATTATTTTGAAAAAGATTTTTAAATATAATTTAAAACTGTAATATAAAAAAAAAATTTCACGCTTAATCTTTATGTACTGATTTATTTTAAATTTAAAAGTATTATTCTATATAAATAAAAATGTCAATGAGAAAATGGGAAAAAGAAAGAAAAAGGAAGAGAATGGGAGGTAGTAACTGAAGTTTCAATTAAACTTTGAACTTGAAATTCAAATGAACAAACTTGTTCCTCTGCGCAACGGCCTTGTTTATAAAGATTCGTGTTTAGGAGTTCAAGTTTTTTTTTTTTTTTAATTTACCTCCTCAAGGCTTAAGGCCACTACAGGCAAGGAGGCTACTTATTTGTGGTTATAACCCTCTCTCAACTCTATAACTCCAAAACACAAACCTTGATGAGCAAGGCCGCTGCGCAGAGAAAGGAGTTGAGGGCGGTACTGCCAGGGACATGATGGGGATCGAACTCGGAACCTCTCACTTATGAAATAAGTGCTCTACCATATCACCACTACCACAAAAAGTTAAGAGAGGATTGTAACCACAACAAGGTAGCTTCCTCGACTGTTGTGTTGGCTTCTCTGGTCACTACTACTCATTTAAATTCAACTTGGGAGGTGAATAACATAAAGTAATAAAAATCTCAATCGATAAAAATATTTGAATAAAAATTGTAATAATGTATTTTCAAATAATGATTCAAATAATAGTAAACCTGCTCTGATAGCTCTTATTGTTGGTTATAATGGTTAATAATAATTTAGTTAATAATAATAGTTGATAATTATTTTAGTTAATAATATTATAGTTGTAATGTTAAAGTTGGTTATAATAGTTCATAAACTTATTAAATATCTTTAAAAAAACCCAATAAAGTCCAGATTTTCCAGGGTTTTATTGAGTTTTTTTGGGCGGATTTTTTAATGCCAACCCTGCTTTTAGTTAATAAAATACTTATATTCATACCAAAATAACATGACGAATTGTTATTTAAGGCCAATACTGTATGTATATATATATATATATATATATATATATATATATATATATATATATACACTTACTAAAGCGTGTTTTGATAAGCATTTGCTCACTTTTTCTGCTTACCTTAAGCTATACCGTTTTTTTTGAAAAAGAAGAAGAAAAAACAAAGAATGATGAATGAAACGATTGCTTCCCCATCCCAAACCCTCAGTCGATGTAGTCAGGCTATTTGTCAGTCGATGTATGTACTGAAGCCCCCAGCTGCAGGCTATTTCAGTATGACGTCAGATTGCTTACAATAGTATGCAATACTCTTTGTGTGTGTATATATATATATATATATATATATATATATATATATATATATATATATATATATATATATACACACACACACACACATACATACACACAGGAAGTAATAAATATCTTAGCTACTGTAAATTTTCACACATTTGTGGAATATGCTGACATTAATTCTTTAGAACTTTAATTTTTATTTTTTTTAAAAGTTATTTTTTTAAAGGAGGGATTTAATACAGTTATTTTTTGGGAGTCACTTATTTTTATAGTTTTTAGGAAAAACTTTTTTCATGCCTGCATTTAGAAATCAATTTCAATTTTTTGTTTAATAAACATTTTCGGTTTGCATGTGTAATTATTTCAAATTTTTATTGTAAGCATATTATAAACTTTTTGGAAGTATTATTAGATGCAAGTGCTGTTTTAAGGATGGACCAATTCAATATAAAATCATCAATATTTTTATCTTTGTATGCATTTTGACAGCATACTTTTTGTTTTTAAAGGATTGTTTATGGTTAGTAAAATGTTTTTTCTATTAACCCTCTGTTAAGCCAATATACTGTTTATTAGATACATTCTTAGAGGAAACAACATGTACCACATTTTTTGATAAACATGCTTTGCCAAATAAAAAAAAAATCTTACATGAAAAATAACAGAAAATTGTAATTATAAACAAAAAAACAATGTGTGGAAAATGTTTATCAAAAAATGGGGTATATAAACATAGTATATAAATGTTTTGTTTCGTCTAAGAATAATCTTGATAAACAAAATATTGGCTTAACAGAGGGTGAATTGAAAAAACGTTTTGTCAACCATAAACAAACCTTTAAAAAGTAAAAGTATTCAAAAGACACAATGCTGTCAAAATGTAGGAATTGAAAAATAAATATATTGATGATTTTATATTGTGATGCCTAGCATGAATGAATATGCCTAGCATAAATGCTGTTTTTATTTTTTATTAATAATAATAAAAAAAAAAACTTCACTTCTGTAAGTGAAGTTTTTTTTTCTTTTTTTCTTTTCTTTCTGAAATTGAATAAACTAAACTTTTTTTGCTTGTATATGCATCACTTCTGAAAGTTAATGAAAAAATTTTTAAAAAATTAAATTGAATAAAATTTTTTTTATTCAATTTAATCTTAAAGAAAAGTCATTGGTTCAAAATTCATCAGCAAACTGGTCTTAAAACTGTGCGTGCACTAGAAAATAAGAATAAAAAAAACTTAAAAAGCTTGTCATTCTGCATGTTCTTTACAATCTAATGTAGTCAATCTAATTAATGTCTTTTGCATGAAATATACATATATGAAAGAATCTGCTTTCACAGTCTAATGATGTATTATGTTGTTAGAAATTTCCTGGGAAGATGTTATTTGTTTACTTGTTGAACGATATCACAAAAATTATTTTAGGCATCTTTAATCATGTAGTATTTTTTCAGATTTGGTATTTCCTATTATAAGTGGTACTTAAGCATAAATAAAAACAATATAACAAAGATTACAACTTATCCCATAACTCAATAAGATAAATTATGCACAAATGTTTAGAAAGATCCAGTTTGTAATCTAATGTTAAACAAAATTCAATTTGTTATAAAATATTTTTAATAGCTCATTAAGTGGATTTATATCTATAAATCAACTCAACAAGTTAATCTTGTTAAGTGGATTCTATATCAACAATCTTTATAAAAAATATACAATTTACATCTCTATAAAAATTTACATCTCTATATTAACTTACACCTCTATAAAAACTTATATCTTTATAAAAATTTATATCTTTATATTAACTTACACGTCTATAAAAACTTTATAAAAAGTAATCAATACAACAAGTGAATTTACATCTCTATAAAAGTATATGATTTAAAACTCACTTTAGCAGTAAGCTCCTCAAACAAGGCATACATAATCCATAAATATATGTAACGCCTCCAATGTTTCTTTTCCTAGAAATTTAAAAAATTAACAAGACAATAACAAAAATAGGAAAAAATAATACATTTAAAATTGAAAGCAGCATTATTAACTTTAATGATAAATTAAAAATGAAAACATCTCAAGTTTTATAATAAGCAATAAAGTATTAAATGCTAAAATAAGAATAATGAATAGATCCACTAAAATGCTGAAATGCATAAGAAAAATGAATAGATTCACTAAAATGCTGAAACGCATAAGAAAAATGAATAGATCCACTTTTTTCTGCATTTAAAATGAAAGTATTTCTTAATGTTATCAATTAATAAACTCATTAATTCTAAAAAATTAACTTATAAAATACTGAAAAGAAAAATATTTAAAACTTTTAAATTTAAGATACCTGAACAGGAGGTATATTTGCGATTGCACGCTCATAAACTTCTCTTATAGTTTCTTGGTCACCATCACTTTCAACCAGTCTGATATAATCAAACCATGCATCATAATTTGTAGGATTTAACTTTACTTCCTTTATAACAGAACAATTCAATACAACAGAAAAAGAATCCAAAAATAATATATCAAATAAGAAAAACATGAAATTTAAAAAAAATTACACTTATAAAAAAATATTTTATATCAGTTTGGAGAATCATCATAATTGAAATTTAAAAACGTAAGGTTTACTTTTTCTGTTTCTAAGCCACTATAAAATTTTACCAAAAGTATGAAAATTATGTTTCTAAGCAACTATAAAATTTTATCAAAACTATGAAATTTATGTTTCTAAACAGGTATAAAATTTTACAAAACTATGAGAATTATGTTTCTAAACAAGTATAAAATTTTAGCTGAGCTATGAGAGCTATGTTTCTTAGCAGCTATAAAGTTTCAACTAAACTATGAAAACTAATAATTCACATATCAAACAAAACTGTATTTGGTGGAACTGTTTAACTTTTATGTACCACTAAATATTAGTTTTTATGCACCACTAAATTAATAGAAAAAACAAATTCAAAAGTTGGATGATGAAAACATTAATTTTCATGCAATTTTAAGTGAAATTCTAAAAGTGTTTCAATTAAGTGGTTTAACTTGCTTCCACAAAACACTTTTTTGCTTATTTGTTTATTAAATGGTAAAGAAGTCAACACTTTAGTAACATAACTTAAAAAAGTTATTTTATAAAACAGAATAATTTTTTTAAAAATAAAATAAATTAAATAAGAATATTTTGTTATAGATATATCAAACTTATTACTTCATTATTATTACATAACAATTTTCTGTTTAGTATTGTTGTAAGTAAGTACTGTTTTTTTTTAGGTGTTTTTCATTGAGGTGCTTACTTAAAATTAGTACTTGTACAATATGTAAATATTCCATGAAATGTAAAATCTTTTTCGAAACTCGATTTGATTTTAGTGGAATTTATTTTTTTAATTGTACCTAAATTTAATGTAATTTTATAACCATTATTAAAATTTTTTTAAATTTAAATTAAGAAAAATTCTAAATTGTTTTATAACACAAATTTGTGTTGTGTAAGTCACACTATTATTATCAACTTTTTTTACAATTTGGTATTCGACCAAATATTGCAAACTGAATACAGAATACCAGATCATACTTTTATTTTATTACTAACTAGGAAAATATTTGCAAGTTCTGTTAGGATAATGTTTTGCATTTGCTGACACAAACTATAAGGGTTTGCTGTCCAATTTAAGCATATAGTTTCATGTAAAAACTAATTTCATATGCGATTTGATTTTTTTTCACATCTTCATATGTGTATATATATATAATGTAGAGATTGGTTTTGTCATTTTGATTTCTTTTTTTTTTCTTTTTCTTATGAAGATGAACCATCACCGGTGCTACTAGAGACCAGTGATGGTTCATCTGAGTCAAGTAGTCTTTCACTGAAGAGAATTTTTATTTTTCTTATGAAGATGAACCATCACCGGTGCTACTAGAGACCAGTGATGGTTCATCTGAGTCAAGTAGTCTTTCACTGAGGAGAATTAACCTTTTACTGCAATGAAGATATTATCTTTAATAAGTTAGGAGTCTTTTGTGCTGTACCTTTCTATACCAACTTCTGAAATGTCTATTAGAGTTGGAAATTACTGTAAGAGAAAATATGAAGTTTATAAAGCAAGATAACAATTAACAGACATCTTAAAAGATTTATATGCAAATTATATGAATCTGGAAAACAAGATAAAAGGAGCTAATTCCAAAGAAGTGATGTTCAAGGAAAAAAACTAAATAAATAAGAATATTTGGAGTACTTAGGAACAGTCACAGTAAGAGGATGACACTTGAATGACAAGTAAAACAAGAATGCATTTTTGTATATAACACAAGTGAGGCTAGCTCTTTAGAGCAGTGCCTGTTAAAGAATTTATAGAAATGAGACAGAGAAGCAATATTGCAATAATATGATAATGGTTGAAGGCAGGTCCAACTAAGATAATAATGCATTTTTAAACTTTGTCTAAATGAGAAAAGGCATCACTTGAAGATTTGCTTTAGGTTTGGCAACAGAATTCCATACCAGGATGGATTTGAGATTTATACATTGAGTACATTACCATTCATAAATATAGGAAGATCTAGATTGTTACGATACCAATTAGCCCAAAAAAAATTGAATTTTATCTGAATTAAAATTCACCAGCCACTGAGAGCCCTAAGCTGTTGCATAAGTTAGAACCTTTTCAAGCTCAAATGCCCCTTCCAAGCAATCAGAGAATTTTTTTTTATAATAAATTAGACATAGTTACTTCAGATTAGTAACTACTACTTTTTGCGTTGTAATAACTTAATATGGCGTTGACATAAACAATCAAAACTATATTAAACATCTATCAAAATTGCAAAAATAAATTTTTTTGACTTACAATTGACAATGACTGCTAGGAATAATTAAAAACAGATTTATGGGTTAGTCACTTCTACTAATGAATCGAAACATATACAAAAAAAATTTACCTCTTCATATTGAAACTTTCTTTTGCTCACAATAACATCTTCGATACCACTTCGGTCACCAAACCTCTTTTCAAATGTTGTATAATTTTTGAATAACTCCTATTATAAAATATTTTTCTTGACTTTGATAATAAAACTTTAATAATTTTACTATTGAATTATTAAAATAATTACTAATAGAACAGTGTCAAAGTTCAACATCTTTTTAAATTCATAACAGAAATATACATATTGTAATACTTTTATATAAATACTTAAAATTTTAGTACCTGAGCTTCATTTTTAGAAATCTTATCCAAAGCATACTTATAAATAGTTCGAACTCTTTCAAACTATAAAAAATAATATTAAACATAAACTTATCAGCAAAAATAATATTGTAAAACAATAAAAAAATTATAAAACTTTAAATCTAAACCATACCTCGCGCTGATTTTCTTCAAACCTTGCGAAAGCAATGAATAATTGCTCATTTAGGTTATCATCGCCATAAAATTCAACAGCACGCTCATAAACAATCCGAGCATTGGCTAAAAATTTTAAAACAACAAAAGTAATTTAGTCAAAAACCTTTTTAAATTTTTTTTTTAAAATATTCAAAATATTAAAAAGTGTTTTAAGAAACTACTTACAAATGTTGCCTTGACTTTCCTCAAATCTTGCAAATCTTATCCAATTCTTAACATTTGAATGACACATAACAAACATTTCATACACTGCACGTGCTCGGTTTACCTCTTTATACCTCAATTCCATCTTAATATATGATAACCATGCTTGTTCTTCAGGCTCCCATTCCATCCACCTTTCAAACACTTGGCGCGTGTTAGGAATATTTCCCAACATTTCCTCCATGTAGGTATATTTATACCTGTTACATAAAAATGTATTTGTAATGTTTTTATGTTACATTAAAAGGCATTTGTAATGTTTTTATTTTACATTAAAATGTATTTGTAATGTATTTGTTACATCAAAATGTATTTGTAATGCAAATGCATTCATAAAAACTGTAAGTATATTTTTACCTATACCAGAGTAAAGCTAGCATTATATGAATAGGCAGAATCATGTATAAACCTTTCAATCTATATGCAAAACATGTCAACAAGTGCATGGTCACACACAAAATGTTTAGATTTACTCTATACATCTTTTATTGATTTAATATTATATTTTAAAAGTATATTTTATTTTTATTTGTTTCAATAATATAATTATTTCCCTAATATAACTTTTTAATTAATTCCTTAATATAATTCAATCTTACTCTCAATTCTCTTACTCTTTCCATAACTCTTACAAAAGCACTTTTACTAAACAATATAACTCAATTCTTACAAAAGCACTTTTACTAAACAATATAACTCAATTCTTACAAAAGCACTTTTACTAAACAATTAACAGTTGTTCAGATAAATGATAAAGTAAATTGATTGTCACATTTTTTTATTAATTTTAAATTTTTTACATTTTGTAAGTTTTATTCATCAATTTTTTCTGACACCTTATTTTTTTTTTTTTACCAAGGTTTTATTGGCTACAAATTAAAAAAAACATATTATTTAACTTTTTGTAGTCATTTTTTATATAATCCCTGATTTGACATTTTATATATTATAAAACTTCAAATCAGGACTTTTAAAGAGTTTTATTCACAAGTGTTTCTGGAGCCAGCAGTTGTTCAGGCCATGTTTAGATCTTGTGATAAAGCATTATGTGATATGAATTTCGTGTGTGTGTATATATATATATATATATATATATTATATATATATATATATATATATATATATATATATATATATACATATATATATATATATATATATATACATATACATATACATATACATATATATATATATATATACATATATTTAATTTTAATTTGCAAATGCATCACAAGTTGCAATGAATATAATGTTATTTTTTAAGTCCATACAAAATA